TTAGGAACATCTAGCGTGTCAGAAAATGAGTGTGAGGGTTTAGCAATCATTCCAATTTTTCAATAGAAAAAAAGGCAAGAGAACCTTTACCTTGATTGTACCACATCTGAACCTCGGCTAAATCAAACACTGCAGCAAATTCTGGCTTTTTGTTAATTAAAACAAACACTGTCATTTGCAAAGGACAAAAAAGGGTATCTGCTAGCCTAATGTCTAGTACACGTTGAGAAAATCGAACGAAAGATCGTTCATTGTTTTTTGGATGCCAGTCTCATGTCGAATCAAAGGCGATTACAAACGGTACAAAAATTATCGTACAACAGAATACAACTTCCTCCGTATTGTACGTAGCAACGTTCCACCATAGAATGGGAAGTGATGTTATTATGTGTGACCTCTCTTCGAGCCATGCCTAGAAATATACACGATGTGTACATTCGAATTCCTTCATAAGAACACCATACTAATTACATGATAAATCGTTCAATCTGTAATCATACAAGAAACATTTTTGTGCTCGTTCCTTTGAATATTTTCGCATGAACGGTCGTGCTGTGCACTAACAATCAGATTATTAGACAATCGCTCAAAATGCATTTTTTTTTGTCCGGTTTTCTCATTGTGTGTACAGGCCATAAGAGTTGATCATTCCTAACCAAAGCTGAACTCCAGGGATTATCTATTTTTTTTCATATATACATTATGGCCCAGCTTGGTTACATCTAATTCTTCATATCTCACATTAGGAGGGATGCAGGGGATGCATAAATCCACTGTAGTAGTCTGGGCTACATACAATCATTGCTAGTCTCTTCTGGGTGGTGCTCAAGTCTGTATACTGAACACAGGGAGTCACTTGCTCGGCATCTCCGCTATTCTTATTTTTCTCTCCATGAATACAAGGCATTCACTGATAGGAGATAGAGATGATGCCATCATCCATTTCTCCTCTCCACCTTGTCCAATGTTAGCATATCTTCTAATCTTTGAAAAAAATACAAAACATTTTATGAATGGCAGAGGTGCTGAGAGAGTAATCTGTGTTCAATATACAAAAAGCAAGTCACTCAAGCAGTACCCAGAAGCAGTGTGTTGCCAACCACTGTATAAATAACAGTTAAAGGTTAAAGAGGTATTAAACTTCTGTCTGTCACCATCGCAGATGGCTTTTAGATCTCAATGAACTACCAGGGTGTTGATCAGCGTCCTTGTAGTTCAATGAGTAACTGTCTGCCCATACAGAGGTAGGAGCAGATAACTGTCAGCGGTGTCTGCAGGAGCGTGATATGGTAGTGGATTGTGGGTGCAATGCTTCGCAGGCTCTCCATTGTAAAAAAAAAATGCTATTTTTTTGAACTGGCAAAGTAATACTTTTTTTTTTGTGAACTGCGCCTTTAAAAAGTTGATCTGAGTGCTTCCCCCTGCTCCCCCTCCCCCCATTCTTGGGCTTTGGTGAGATTACTACTGTGCTGTTCATTTTTCTCCTTGCTGAAGAGAAAGCTGTAGCTGGGTACCTGGGGGCCAGCATCTTCCTACTTCCTTCATTTATTCTGTGATTTCGCCATCTTTTCCAGCTGCTTTTTCATTACCCCACCTGCTGGGAGGCAGCTCAGAGTCAAAGCCATCTGGCTTAACGATAAAGTTAAGCCCAACCCCACCCAAACCTTTGTTTTTAGTTTTGGATAGACCAGTGAAATGGTCCTCTGTTAAGTGCTGATGAGAAGATTTCTCCTTGTTTCCTGATCTATCTGACATCCATCAACTGTAAATGAAGTAAGAGGAATTCATACCAGGAACAACTGGCTAGAACTGGGATCTAGAGAACTGTCCAATCACTCTTCACATACTATATATTTGATCTTCATATTGATGTATAAAATATATGTTTATGAAAGGTAAAATATTATCAGTCACTTAGAAATAGCAGCTCCCACAACACTCTTCCAGCTCTGTACCTTGGGGAGCCAAACCCTCAGGGACCTATACTGAAGACCATGATGTCAGTGGTTCAGAACATTGCTACCTAGGTTTCAAGAAGTGATGCGACTTTAGCTAGACAACTGGAGCACCTTCCATCTGATAGGTGCGTTTTAACACTTGAGGACCAAACCCCCACCATGCCTACTGGATGATGTTTTAGGTCCCTTTTAACAGAATGCATAAAAAGCACAATGATGAGCAGAATTCAGCCACTTCTGAGAGAGAGAGAACAATCCATATGCATGGGGGTTTAAAAGCAGAATGCTCACTCCTGTGATGCAAGAACAGCAGCAACAGGACAGGAAGAGACAACGCTATCTACAGAAGTCTTTTGACCGGGCTTCAGAGGAGTGCAAGTGGCTTACAGGTACGTCTTTTTAACCAATATTTCAAACCTGCACAATGTTTTTGAATACAATGAGACCCCTTGACTGCATGATGTATTTTATTGAAAAGTTGAACTATCCCTTTAAAGTGACACTAAGGCGAGCCATAGACTATTACCCAATCAACACAGTCAGTATTGATGGGAAACCCTCTGATGCTACTGTGTTCTGCCAGTGTAATGCCTTCTCTGCCGGCAGAATTTAATGATCACTGCTAGCGTCTATAGTCGCCAGGAGTAACTGCATGCAAAAAATCCGGCAGGCTGGTTGTACTAAAGTCGATCAAAGAATCAACTTCAGTACAACCAGCCTGCCCACAGACAGATTGAATTTTGGCCAGTCCCTGCTGAACCAGCCGTGATTCGATCCATCTATGACAGACTTAAAACAATATTATCCAAAAACAATCCATACAAAGAACAACATAGCCACACTAACAGAAGTCAAAAGAAAAAAGGAAACTGAAGATTTGGAAGAGGGAGAGAGCAACAGAAGGGCATTTAGTCAAGAATACATACTGGAAAATAATTTTTTCGATTATACCAGAGTTTAATGTCATTTTAATGCGCATCCTCAGAGACTCCAATGTCCTAGGTCTTGGAGCTCTCCATGGTGACTACTCAAGAGTCCTGAATTCTACCTTCTTCTGGGCACTCTTCTGCCTCTGAATCCCCTTACCCTGAGTTCTAACGTTTACTATCTGTCCCCTTTTTCTCTGACCTTTTACTGGTGACCACTTGACAGCTGCCTAGGGAATCCTTAGCCCCCAAAAGCCATACTGGCCCTCTCTCTCCATGCACCCCTCTCCTTTTACTGCAGACCCAGAGGTGAGCCTGGACAAATTTCTGATACCCCCGCCCCAATCCCAGATAAACAAATTCTCTATCTGCCAATCCAAGTACCTCCAGTCCAAGACATACTGTTACCCACATGCCCATCTAGGTACTCCCAATGTTATTCTGCTAGCCCAGGGGTCAGCAACCAGTAGATCAAGGCCGGGTGATTGGTAGATCACAATCTGGGCTTGATGACCAGCCATCCCACAGCATCAGAGTGCAATGCAGATGGACTAATTGAAAATTTGGAGCTGGAGTAGCAAGCAGGAGCTGCATAAGCCAATGCCCCCTCTGTAGCGCTGGCTCCTGTTCCATGAGGAGTACTACCCACTGCAATCCACCTCTTATCCCAGCTAGTGATCTCCAGAGTGGTTCCATCAGCAGGAAAGAAGAGAACTTCAGGTCAGTGTGAAGCAATACATTGCGCATAATAGTATAGGGCTGCTTTCACAATAATGCTCTGCAGTTTACCCATACCACGGGTGCAGTGCACCTACAGCTTTCCTGCGCTTAGCCATAGAGTTCTATTACACCCTGTGGGTTTGGTGTGCACCACACCTGCAGGATATAATAGAGGTCAATGGCAAAGCACAGCTAACCCAGAAAAGTCACAGATGCACTGTGCTGCACCCCCGATGCAGGTAAACCGCAGCCTCATAGGAGGCTCAGAACAGTAAGGGTCCATTTACATTTGCAGTTTGGGGGGTGGTACAACCCCATAATTAAGACATTTTTACCACCTCTGTCCCAACAGTACCACCTTTAGCTGCAGTAGCCAGGGGTGTACACGTCGCAGCCACAACAGGAGTTATGCATCCTGTAATGGTTGGCGGGTATAGCACCTGCCAAGCATGACCCATTCAAGTGAATGAGGCCACTCTGCAAGTGCCCTGCAACCTTGTGCAGTACAGCCAGCAAGGAGCTGAAGCAGGCAGCGTTGTGTTCTTATCACCAGCTTTAACCCCTTGGACCCCGCAGAAACATGAAGTAGCAAGGCACTTGCAGAGTGGCCCCATTTACTTGAAAGGGTTGTGATTAGATGGCAGTAGCACCCACCAAAAGCAAAAGGAGGTTTAATTTCCTGTGGTGGCACGTGTACACCTTTGGTTGCTGCCTCGGCAGCTAAAGGTGTTAGTGATTGGGGGCACTAAAACAACCACTCAACAGCAGGGTTTTACCACCACCAAACTTTATGTGTTAACAAGCCCTAAGGGTGCCGCTGCAAGCTAGGAGAAGCGATCCGAGAGTGTTTGACAGGTGGTGAGGAGGTGCTATGTTGCCTACTCACCACCTGATATAAACCCATGATTGCTGTGCAATGCACGTGATTGCGACAGTAGTATGGCAATTACAGGTTTAAATTAGGAAGCGATGAGGCAACGCTGGGCAACTCCAGGCCCAGTGATGTTGACTTCTTCCATGTTGTTCAGGTAGATCTACACCCACTTGCCTCTGCAGGTACCTCCAGTCCTAGACAGACACGGTTACCTTACCTTTACTTCCAGGTACCCCCCAGCCAGCCCCAATATACTTTCCCTCCAGGTACCCCCATCCCCAATATTCTATTTTCCCTGTTCTCTATTAACCCAGACTCGGTTGGAGTAAAATGAAACCGATCCTCTCGACTGTAACATTCTGCATCTCAGAACCTGTACTATGCAGGAATTTCACTAAATTCTTCATTTGTCACCAGACTACTATAGAGGTTTTATTAGAAGTCATGACAAAGAGGAATTGTCTAGCCCTTCCTACTACAATGCTCCCCATCATTGTTATAAAGAAAATCTTGGATAAAGTTCTTCCCAAAAAAATAAACATTTGAGAAAAAACAAACAAAACAAAAACGGTTCCAGTAATCCATATCCTTAGTCTGCTTGTCTTCAGTAAACTGTTTGCGGGCTTTCTTGTGCATCATCTTTAGAAGAGGCTTCCTTCTGGGATGACAGCCATGCAGACCAATTTGATGCAGTGTGCAAGTTTTAGAAATTAGCTTAGTTTGTTACATATTAACAATTATTAGAATGAGATCATTATGAGGAATATTCCTAGCTGTAATGTTTTGATTGGTTGAACTGATATTGGTTGTAATATTCTGATTGGATGGAGGGATATCCCTCCCTTAGTAACTGTTTGTATTTAATCCTAACTCACGCTACCATTAAACGAACACACTTAGAGTCTGTGTCCTGGTCTTTATTGTGTGTTCCCAGAGTCTCTGAAAAGGGGTCTCCCAGATCATCCGAGGGGAAATTAACCCTTGCCTAGAATATGGTCTGAGTACTGACAGGCTGACCCCCCACCCCTTCAACCTCTGCAGCAATGCTGGCAGTACTCATACATGTATTTCCCAAAGACAACCTCTGGATATGACGCTGAGCACGTGCACTCAACTTCTTTGGTTGACCATGGTCAGGCCTGTTCTGAGTGGGCCCTGTCCTGTTAAACCGCTGTATGGTCTTGGCCACCATGCTGCAGATCAGTTTCAGGGTCTTGGCAATTTTCTTATAGCCTAGGCTCTTTTTCACCTTTGCTGCGGCTCCGGAGCACACTGCCCACCAGGTGACAGGCAATAGGGTTGCCGTAGCTCAGTGGTCGGCAAGCCGCGGCTCTTTACACATTTTAATGCGGCTCTTCTGTGTGCCGGGCGCCCGCTCCCCTCCCTCCTCTCGGGTGGCCGCCCCAAAAGTCAGGACTCTGCAGCTAGCCCAGCAATGGGCAAACTACGGCCCGGCGGACCTTTTAATCCAGCCCGCGGAGCGTGGCAAACATTGGCTGTCAGGATGTAGGCGGGGCAGCGTAACGAACTCCTCTCCTCTCACAGTCCGCCCTGAAGACTGGAACGGCGCGGGAACACGGCGAGAGGAACGCGCGGAGCAAAGGTAAGTGAATTGACACAATATGGGGAATGAATTACTATATGGGGGATGAATTACTATGGGGGATGAATTACTATATGGGGGATGAATTACTATATGGGGGATGTATTTTCAGTTTTAAAAATGTGGCTCTCAAAATAAATTTCAATCGTGGTTTTGGCGAGATTTGGCTCAGTTGAAAAAAAAGGTTGCCCACCACTGACCTAAGGCTATGATTGTGATTATGACGATACACTGTGGCCCTGATTAACCGCGCTATTTGCAATATATGCAGTGTCGGATTGGTTTTAAATGTTGCAATGGTTTTGCGGCTCCCAGTCTTTTTTTCCCTCTTGGAAACGGGTCCAAGTGGCTCTTTATGTCTTAAAGGTTGCAGACCCCTGACTTAGGCCATCTTTATGTAGAGCAACAATTCTTTTTTTCAGATCCTCAGAGAGTTCTTTGCCATGAGGTGCCATGTTGAACTTCCAGTGACCAGTATGAGAGAGTGAGAGCACTAAACACTAAATTTAACACACCTGCTCCCCATTCACACCTGAGATCTTGTAACACTAACGAGTCACATGACACAGGGAAGGGATAATGGCTAATTGGGCCCAATTTGGAAATTTTCACTTAAAAAAACAGGTTTGAACAGGAGGCTCCACCTCACAACTTACAGGACTTAAAGGATTTGCTACTGATAGCTTATTGCCAGGCACTACAGGGTAACTTAGAGGTCTAGTGGTGTTTATGACTCAACATGTTAGGGTTGTTTTGGCAGCAAATGGGGAATCTACTGAATAGAAACGGTGAGTTGTCATAAAGATATGGACAAAAAAAAAACAGGAATAAGGGCACACACCTCTAGTGTATTACGAATGGTTCCATTTATTAGAATGGAAAACACTAGCCATTACACTCACAAAGCCAGATGAGCTAAAGTTAAGCACAAATGACACCCAATGCAGAGCAGACGTTCGATCTCTCCATCTGCAATAAACAGCAGGGACTAATGAATCTCCTGCTGCAGATGTAGATGTTCTGACAGTGGGCACGCTCTGAGAGGATGAAGAGAATGTTTGGCCGACAATTTTCCACCCAATAGCTTTGAATTTTCTGTCAAACTATGCGAAGCAAAGTGGTGTCGACAGGGTCGGGCCATCTACTGATTGATTTTTTTTGGACTATTTCACTGACTCAGAACAAGTATATAGAGAAGGAATGAACTCAGGCATTTTAACAAAGGAAAGCCAAACAGCCAGGAAACTAGCATTTTTTTTGGCCTCAATCACATGGGTGTACTTAAGCGTACACCATTTGTGAGGGCTGTGTTTTGCCTGCACGGGATGCACAGGTGTTCCATGCATCTGTATTGTAGGCAGTCCCATTCATGTCAAATGGGAGACAGCGGCTGCTTCCAATTTGACATTGGTGTCGGTGAGGGTCCCTGAACTCACACTGTCTGTGTTTAAAGTGGTTGTAAACCTCAGACATGAAATCTAAACAAAGCATTTTCCCCTATAATGTGTACTTGTCTTAATCCAGAGCACCAAGTGTCATTTCTGTCTGCTTCCTCATTCCTCTGCCATCTGCAGTAGTCACTTTTATTATTATTATACAGTATTTATGAAGTGCCAACAGTTCGCTCAGCGCTGTACATTACAATGGGAGACAATACACGAGACCGTACAATAACAATACAATGCGATACACGAGGGGTTCGAGGGCCCTGCTCCTTGGAGCTTACAATCTAGGAGGGAGGGGATAGTGGTATGGGAGGAATAGCTTTGGGGGATTGAGTGGTAGGAAAAGTGGAGGAGATCGGCAATTAGCTGAGGGTGGGGTAGGCTTCCCTAAAGAGGTGGGTTTTCAGGGTGCGCCTAAAGGAGAGGAGAGTATGTGATAGTCTGATGGATTGGGGTAGGGAGTTTTAGAGGATGGGGCAAGCCCTGGAGAAGTCCTCGAGACGGGCATGGGAGGAGGAGACCAGGGAACTAGAGAGTAGGAGGTCTTGTGAGGAGCGAAGAGTATGTTTTGGGTGGCATTTGGATATCAGGTTGGTGATGTAGTTTGGGGCAGTGTTATGAACAGCTTTGTACGTCAATGTTAGCATTTTGAATTTTATCCGTTGGGCAATCGGAAGCCAGGGAAGCAGGGATAGCCTGTGGTGAGGTAGGCCGGTGAGAAGGGAGTTACAGTAGTCAAGTCGTGATATAAGGGAGTGAATGAAGTAGTTTCCGGGGTTAGGAAAGGACGTATTTTGGAGATGTTGCGGAGGTGGAGTCTACATGAGTTTGTCAGCGATTGGACCTGGGGCTAGAAGGACAGATTGGAATCTATGATGACACCTAGTACTCTGGCTTGCGGGGTGGGACTGATGGTGGCATTTTTGGACGTGATGGAGAAGTCGGGGGGGGGGGGGGGGGGGGCTGGGGGGAAAACTAGGAGCTCGGTTTTGGAAAGGTTCAGTTTGAGGAAGTGACATCCAATCCGATATGTCGTTCAGTAGGCTAGTGATTCGGGCGGAGACTGAAGGGGTGAGACGAGGGGTAGAGAGATAGATTTGCATGTCTTCGGCATAGAGATGGTAGTTGAAGCCGTGAGAGTGTATCAGTTGGCCAAGGGAGGAGGTGTAGATTGAGAAGAGAAGGGGCCCGAGGACAGAATCTTGAGAGACCCCAACAGAGAGGGGGAGGTGGCAGCGTTATAGGTATTATATACTTATGACGGGTTTTCCTGAGCTATGTAGAGGGAGGGTGTGTCCCATCAGCTCTCCGCCCCGATTTTCAGAGCTGAAAGATCCTGTTTAAATTCTGCATCTGAAAGAATGTAGGAGACAGATGGCTCCAGATAGACAGGTATAACTTATGTAGGAGAATTTGTTTAATCCCTGTGTATTACATGAGGCCTGTCACTTCACTGGGTATCTGTAAGGATTTACAAGCACATTAAGTACATCCATGGGAAATGGCTGGATGAAGTCTTTTCACTCCTACATTTTTTACTAGTATTTGAAAATAATTTAGATGTTAAACAAACAGTCTATGGCCCATTGAATAGTACATTTACTTACAGAGACAGTATGTACAGTACATGAGATATAGAACAATTGAAAGGCTTGCCTAAAAAAGGAAACTTTATTGAAACACGAAGGCTGCATGGCATAAGCAGTGATAATTCAGCAAGGTACACTTTGAGGGTAAATCTATTACGAAAACATAAGATAGTTTGCTAGCTGGGTTATTATGACATCTGTGTAGAAAAGCAATCATTTGGATTACTCCTACAGTTATTTGTACATCGTTGTTGCTTGCTTCACAGTCCAAAAGGCCATGTGCAACTAACCAAGTTGTCTCTTCTATGTGACGGTGTTAATGTCCTCCCCCAACAGATTGACAATAAAGAGTCTGAATATATGTAGATACGGCCTACACTTGTCGGCTGATATATTCATTATAGCGATTGCTTATGTACAAGAAAACCTTTATATGAATATTGGGTACTAGATTTTCAACATGTTTATACACTACTGTATGTGATGTGACCTCGTGAATGTAACAGAATTGTTTTGTCCCATCTTTGCAACCCTCTATGAGGGATTTAGTTGATGGCGCAAATCCAAACTGAACACAAAACAGAACAATCATATCTATTGTCCAGAAGAGTTGGGGCCAATGGTCTTCTTGATAGGGGTTTCCAATATTTATAACAGCCGTTCTCAACTGAGGGTTCCATGGAACTCTAGAAGTTCTCCAGAAAATGCTAGGGGTGCCTCAAGTGGAGACTGATTAACCTCCCATTTGATATTGCCTGCATAGTTCCGGGGCCAACACCTCTAGGCAGAGGCAGTGGCATTATATCAGTGATCGTTTACCTAACAGTATTAGTATTCGGCTCCCCATTGCCCAACGCATTAAATTCAAATTGCTCACCCTGACCTATAAGGCCATTCACAACACTGCCCCTAACTACCTCACCGACCTGATTCCCAGGTACCACCCTACCCGTACCCTTCGCTCTTCACAGGACCTCCTATCTTGCTCCCTGGTCTCCTCCTCCCACGCACGACTGCAAGACTTCTCCAGGTCCTCCCCCAACCTCTGGAACTCACTACCCCAATCCATCAGACTGTCACCTTCCCTCCTCACCTTCAGGCGCTCCCTGAAAACCCACCTCTTCAGGGAAGCCTACCCCACCCTCACCTAACAGGCGCTGCCCTTCCCTCCTCCTACCACTCCATCCCCCACAGCCGTTTCCTCCTGTGCCTCTACCCCCTCCCTCCTAGATTGTAAGCTCGAAAGAGTAGGGCCCTCTTACCCCTTGTGTACTGTTTGATGTTACTGTTCTGTTTCATGTATTGTCCCCCCTCTATTGTACAGCGCTGAGCAAACCCCTTTGGCGCTATATAAACTCGATAAATAAATAAATTAGGCCTTTCTTCCCACCAATGTAAGACATCTTTCCCCATTGAACCTCAATGAATTGATTTTAGCAGGGATTTCCTAAGACTCAGAAATTTTTTCAAGGGTTCCTCAGAGATAAAAAGGTTGATAACGGCTTATTTATGAATGTAACATTTTAAAACTGAAGTTTAACTGAAGCTATAGAGA